GCGCCTGGGATCTGAACCCGGGCCGCCAGTAGCAGAGCGCGCGCACTTAACCGCTAAGCCACACGGCCAGCCCCAGACCACTTATTTTTAAAGAAATCTCACAGATACATAAAGTAAAAGGCTATCTTGGTGGTGGTGGCAAGGAGGTCCAAGCATCCCAATGGGGTGGGGCTGGGAGAGAAATCCCAGTGATCCGAGCACCTTCCATCTAATGAATTAGGTGGTGTTGCTCTGTGGTTTATCACCCAGAGTGGGAAACTAGGAGAAAGGGAAGATTTATATTCATGTTGATGAGATTCTACAGAATTCGAGAGTCATAAAGAATCTGAAAAGCTCTGAGACAGTTTAAACAATCTATAGAATTTGTGCTGGCAGGTTACTTTTTCTTTAGACTTCATATGTGAAATAATAAAATTAGAAGGCAACCTTTAAGACATGTGTACAAGCTCACTAGGGATTTTTTGAAGGCAGAAAATCAGAAATCTTAGTATTCAAGGGGCTTTTGAGAAGTCTTCTGGTCCTCTTGCCTTTCACGAGGGTCAGATGATACAAAACGCCAAGGTCAGGGATTGACTAACTCATTCCAATATCTGACAACTTTCACCATCAGGAAAGCCTCTTTCAGCTTCTCAGCTGGCAGGGAGTTAAGCCCCATTTCTCTGTCAGAGGACAGTCAGTCTTTGGGCTGGGCCATCGCCTTTCAGATTCTTTGTGACGCTTGAATTCTATAAAATCATGTCGAGTTAGTGCTGGGAGGAGGGAAGGATTTTCATTACTGAGTCCAATGTTCCCACACATGTCCATTACCTCAGGAGGCTTGGACTCTGTGTCTTGAGCAGGACCTGGAATCCGTTTTTAGATCCTGACCCCAGGGCATGTATAAGGAGGTTCACTGTAGTGCCTGGGAGTGGGAATTGACTAGTGGTTCTACGGCCAGTGAAATGGGAGAGTAAAATGTGGTGGATGCTGTATACAAACACCGTGCAGCCACAGGAATTGAGAGACTGGATGCACATATTATTACACGGCTAGATTTCCAAAACACTGTGGAGTCTGAAAAGCAGATAGAATGAAATTTATGTAACACCATTTGCGTAAGAATCACACACATGAAACAACACTGTAGATAAGGATATCCACACATTTAAAGACATATATTGAAAATGTTATGGGAATGGATATTATGGAAGGAGAAAATAAAAAAAGAGAAGGCCTGGTACTGACTGAAGACGACAATGTTAAGCACCGAGGAGCACTGAAGAGTCTGGTTAACTAGACTCTTTGCACCCAACCTTCAAGAAAAATAAGAAAAAAAAAAAAGACTGGAATCAGTAAAAAAGAAAGTGCTCCAAGTGAATCAGCAGCTCAGTCAAGTTTGGCCTTGGAGTGGTCTAGCCCTCATCCCACAGAGATGATGGAGGTCCAGGGAGGGGGAAAGTCCTCTTGGAATGTGCCATACCCTCCTCCATCCTCTCACCACTTGCCTTTTCTTTCCAGCCTATTTTTTTCTTTTACTTTTTCACACTTTTATTTTCTAATTCTTTAATCAACGTCATGAAGCACTAAGTAGCAAGGTTGGCACTTGGTTTAAGAGAATGGCAGGAAAAGACCATGCTGTTCTAGTTTGTAATATGCAGCGTTGTCCTCTCTCTTGGATTTCTTGCCTTGGTAGTCAACATGCTTAGTATACAGATTCATCTACTGAGTGCTTACTGCATGCCAGGTGCTAAGCCAAGGGCTTTACCTAAATCATCTCATTTAATCTGCACCAAAAACTCAGTGAAGCTGCTCCCGTGTTTGAGATGACTAAAGCTTAGAGAGGTTGTGTATCTTTTCACACAACAGTTAAAAACATTCTGTGGGTACTATCACTCCAATTGGGAATACTGTGAATCATCAAATCAAAAGGATGTTTCTTTTACCAGATTGGGAGGAAATTTAAAAAAAAAGCCCAAACTTTGGTTGGCATCCAAGCAGCGAGAAATGAATCAAGTTCTTTCCTCATTGATTGCCTGCAGAATCTAACCATTCTTGTGTTTGGGACTGAGAATGTATTCAGACTCAAGGAATTTAAATACTCCTTCCATGGGGCCACATTTGGGTATCACTCATTTCATCTACATTCTACTGGAAATTCATGTCACTAAGATGTTCTGTTCCTAGAGAAAGGATGAGCAACAGGAGTGAGTTGCTGGCAAGCCACTCCATGTCTCCCACTGTTGTTTCTAGCACTTTCATGTGTATGGACATGCAACTGTATGGTTGATAGGTTTCCACCCAAGAGTTATCTGCTCCTAAATTATTTCCATATTTTGTAGACAATTGTCTGTAAATATCTAGCTGATGAGGCACCTGCACATGAACCCAGTGAACAAACATGCATCTAAATGGTTTAAGTAAAAATACCCAATTTAGAGGCACTATCAGCACAGGGTGGAATTTTCAAATGCAGCCAAAGGGAACAGCATTGCTTCTCCAGAAGCACTGCTTTTACAGGAGGTCACCAGTGTTGCCACACCAGTGCCTTCTTTTTGTGTTGCATATATCACTCACCTCCTAATTGGAAATTCAAGAGAGCAAAATAAAGTCTGAAAATAAAGTCATGAGATATGGAGCAATGTCATAAATTTGCACTTTGGGAGAAAGTACATCTGTGGCTCAGAGTGCTTAATTTAACTTCCCTGGCTTTGGTCAGTGGGCCTTCTCCCTCGTTTTTTTTTTTGCTTTGATATACTGCTTCTTGATTATTTACACATACACACAACACAAACACATTCTCCCTGGCTAACTTTTAACTCTACATCTTTTATGCATTAGTCACTATATATTTAGTCATTATATATTTATAACATATATAAATCATATAAATTATAATATATACATAAACACACATACCCAATTCAAGAAAAAGCCTGGTAAATCTTCAGCTTGCAGAAGAGCATTCATTCTAGAAATGCTGCACTTATAAAATCATTTCCAAACTCAGGATCCATTTTGTTTTTTCCTCTGATTAGTAGAATTCATTCTACGTAGCCCACGTCACAGTGATGAAAAACTAAATTTTCACAACTGATATACCATACAATGGAAGTAAGTGTGAAAAAAAATCTTAGAAACATTGGATTGTTACTTTTGAATGTCCATAATGAAAACACTTGAGTTATCTCCAAACCAGTAAGATCTGTGGTTCCTATAATGCCAATTTGGGTTGTTGAAGTCCTTGATGATTTGCCAGGCATTGCCCTAGGAGAAACTTAAACAAAGACTTTCCATAGGTAAGACTCCACTGCTATGCATTATGTAAAATGTGCCATGATCTGGATCATCCACTTTTAAAAGGTGTGGGAATGTATTGAAAAATCTGCGTTTTTTTCTGTAGTTATTTTTTCTAGTTGTCAACTCCCTTCCACGGAGTTATAGAGAATTTGCCACTCAGAAAAGTCCCCCTATGAGATCTCACTGGAGATCATTCTTCCCTCTGAGCTTGGGTAAACATCATACTACCTAGAAGTCCAGAAAGCGTTTACACATTTTTCCCACAGACTTTCTCAGATCTGCTTCTGAAGAAAAGACTGGTCTTCCTGAGCCCACCAATACAACCTTCCACTTAATTTCACAGAATTGCCCAAACCCAGATTATAATAAATCCATTAGGGTAGAGATATCATTTCTGTTTTTTCCAAAGCTATACCATGTCCAGTGACATAGCCATTTTCGCCAAGAGCAAAGAGCCAGACCCCTCATTTACATCATGGGGCATGGGAATTTCTGCTGGCAATACTGCAAACAAAAATGACAGTCATCCAAGCTGCCTTCTTACTGGAGCACACACAAGCTCCCAGGACCCAGCACCTTTAAAGTTTTGATAGTTTTTAAAAAGGCTATTAAAATCACACACATGATATGATGGTAGTCCTTAAAAAAAAAACTGAAGGCATTTTATAGCTAAACAATTTTATTGGCTTTTTGTGAAATAAAAAACACAAAACAAACCACCATGGTTAAAGGCCATAATCAGCATCAACCAAATGAGCCAGCCACTTGGTTACAGTAGCTGATAACAAACACTAGTGGATATTATTGCTTATACCCCAGGTTCATTTATAGGTCCATTACATTTTGGCAAGATTACAATCAAATGGGAGCTTTGGTTGTATAAATTCAACCCTGACTACTCATTGAAAACTCAACTTCTACCATTTTACGATGGGATATATGCCGATTCTTCCTGAGTCTTGACATTTATCCTCTCATTCTGTCTCCTTTCTCCTTCCATTAACGATTTACAACCTTATTGACCTAAAATTAAAGTAGATGCATTCATAATCATCTATCTCCACTCTTCCTTTGCATGAGAGGGTGATACATATATGGGCCTCTCCAAACTTGTATGTGGTACGTATTCACTGCCAATAAGAAGTGCCCATCTGTAATCTGGATAGACTTTCAAATGCACATGGCTGTCAACCTTGGGGTTCGGACTCAACTGTCACTTTTCCAACTTCTGAAAGCTAGCAAAAAAAATCAACAGCCTTTAGCAGCAGTAAGTTGACCTCCCAACAGAATAAGCCCTAGCCCCTGCCACACAACATTCCATGGCAGGTAAAGAGCTGTGGCCTTAAAATGCTCTGTATGAGTGCTGTAACATTTTAATTTACAGAGAAGCAATGATTGACTGCCTCTCAAAAGCTCCCCTGCTCAACACTTTCTGTTTTAACACTGAAAACTCAGAAGGACAAAAGGTCAGAAGTAACTTACAATAGCACCATTTCCTAGACTCTTGGAATGAGATTCCTGTCTGCGTTGGAGAATGCAGGGACCCTAGACGACCCAGCCTCCAGCTTTGCGCTTTCACAGGCCCTGCTGAATTTCAGCAAGGGTGGGTGTCTGCCTTAGCCTACCTCTGCAGCGACATGAATTTTCCCTGGGAAGAGTTAAAAATACGTGTCTTACAAAGTGACGTTGGCCGCAGGTGAGAGACCTGAGGAAGCCTGTTTCTGGTGGTGAGATGTGACAGGCCTGCCGATGGCGGGACAGAGTCTGGGGACCCTTTCCCTTGCCCATCTCAATTCAAGTCCGTGGAGAATCTGCATGCAGAAGCATGGCAAGATCAAGGAATACTGAGACATAAACCCTAATACAGCAATCCAAACACTAACGCTCTTATGGTATCTTTTGTATTCACGTCCACCAGTGAGTTTGCCCTGGATAATGCTGGGATTTAATAAGCCCTTCTAATGATTATAAAGATTATCCTCTTGAATCTAGATATTTTAAACAACAGAAGATTTGATATCACTATATTTTACATGGCACATATAACCATATAATTACTAGCACTTACACAGCAAATATTGTAAATACACATTCTTGGAGCTAACTTGGTAATTATACCGATGTTATTTGGCAGCACAAAGATTAAACACTCTCTAACTTGCACTTTGGGGAATTTCCTTCCAAGCTTTTACTTCACAACAAAAGGATAACCCTCTAATTATGTAATAATGCTTGGTGGTCATGTGGGCAAAGGGAATCACAGGGCGACTTCATGGTTAATTTGTGGCCTGTAAAATAAAGTAATACATAGTATTTTCATTTCAACAAAATATAAGAGACCATATAAAAATATTTTCCAATTTGGAATTTGAAACATGAAAGCTGGATTTTTTTTTTTTTTTCCTTTGTATAAAAAGAAACGAAAAAACTGGCTAAAGTTTATTAAGCCTTCTAACAAAAAATAGACATACCAGTTTAAGGAATGCAGCGAGCGTCAACTTCCCTTTTTGTCCAGGCTCGTTGATGGTGAGTTTGTGCTTTGATCCCAACAAAGATAAATGCACAAAAGTGGAGGAAGATCAGTGCCTGAAACCTGAACTATAGCTTATCTCTAATAACAAGACTAATTTTACAGTAGTGCTTTTAAAAGGGGTGTGTCAGATGACTGATTTTTTTTCTCTTCCTCCTCAGGCGACTGCTGGAGATGAATTCCAGAAGCACCACTTTCTTCTTGAGTGGTGTTTATTTAGTGCAATATCTTCCTTCTCTCGTTCCCTTTTCACACGCTGGTAGTGGTCTTCTTCCTTCAGGTACCACACAGGGGGCCAGCGGTGCCGCTCAAAGTATTCCTGGTTGTCTGGTGAAGGAAAGTGTGGAAGATAAAACCTGCTGGTCACTGATGGCTTCTATGTGCTCGGTTCTGTGCTTCATGCTTCGCATATGTGATTATCTTATATATCCTCTCAACAATCTGATGTGCAGAGACTATGATTAGGACCATTTCCAGATTATGACACTAAAGTTTTGAGAGGTAGAATACTTGCCTAAAGTCAGGCAGCTGGGCACAGAGAACCCGAACCCAGGACCACTTGATTTCAGAGTGTAAGCTTGCTCCTAAGTGTGCCTCCCTAGACAAGGCTGAGCCTACAACCTTGCATGCTCAGCAGCAGGGCAGCCTGAACCCCTCACCACCCAAATCCTCCAAGCATGAGGTTCTCCAAAGAGAATTCCCCACCTACAGTTCCTTGTGTCATGTCACATGAATATGTGACCACCATGCCAGTCACAAGGAACACCCCATGACTGCCTGCTGCTCATGTTTCTTCTCAAGGGTGCAGAGGGTAACGCCTCAGTCAGAGGTGATGAGATCTGGACAAATGGGGGCCCCGCAGTCTCACCTGCAGATTTTGATTTGATTTCCTTGCGGAACTTGGAACACACACTGTTGTAGTTGGTGCAGATGTGGTGCAAACACCAGGCGGCCAACTGGTGGGCATTGTGAAACTGCAAGGAAGCGACCAAAAGGGTGTCAGACTTTACTTTCTAAAGTGGGGCTACGGAGAAATAGGAAGCCATTGTAGGGGTGAAAGAAATAAAGGGCCTGTACACTAATTCAGTAAACCTCTTGTTTTGACTATAATGTTTTGACTTCGGCCGTGGTTCCAATGCCAGCCAAGTACAGCGTTTGGCACACCCCTTCCTTACCCTCTGTGATAGGGGCACCAAAAAAAAATCACTGTATTAGATCAGGAGTTTAAAGTATGTCTTGCTCTCCCACCCTCCCCCGCCACCTGGCCCTCTAGTGATAAGTGACCGTGGCCTCTGGAAGGCACCAGCCAACAGCAGAAAGCAGCGATGTCATTTCTGTTTAAGGAAGCCTAAGCAACGGAATACCCCGTGTCGCATGTCAGAGCTCAGCGTGCTGGGGCCAAAGACCTGAAAGAGGAGACAGTGGAATGTGTGACTCTCCTATACCTGTCCTTTGGTTACATAAGGACAGGCGGTGTGGGCAGGGCGGGAGAGAGCCCAACACTCCACACCTCCTTTCTGAGCAGATGCTCAGGGAGGTGGCAGCAGAGGTAGCTGTGACTGAAAAAGACCTGCTGCTCAACTATTGATAGCCAACTCCCCATTCCCTCCTCCGATTTGGCAGTATTCCCCCTGCCCCTCACTCTCTCTGTCCACACTCTTCTCAGACATCCATTCTGCTGTTTGTTGCTCTTGAAGTTTCTCTGATCAGGTGAAACCCTGGAACCTACAGTGTGCTTCCTCTGCAGCCCACGTCTCTGCCAGGAATGAAGGCCAATAGAAAAGCCAAAGTTCTCAGAAACTAATTCAATAAACTCGCTGAAAATCACACCACCAACACCATGGACAATTTTAGCTGGTGCTTCCAACTTCTTTTGATATTAGATTTCTTTCTGACAGCAAGATTAGGGCAGTGGTGTACCGGAGTTGGCTTTTACCTGCTCAAGAGAGTCAACTATGTGCATTTCTTGCCTACTCTGAGTTCTGTGTTTTCACGTTCTTAAAATTGGCTGGATGGGAGTATTTACACCATGGAAATCGGAAAATGCCACAGATCAGGGACCCACCAGCCCCCAAGCTGATTGTTACATACTTACCAGCACATCACTGGGTTAGGGTCTAATAAATGAGAGAAGGCATGGAGACTCCATCCTAAACTCTTCCTGCCAAGGCTTGTTAGGGCTTAGCAGTAATCATACTATTTCCTTGCAGGGTGCATGTGTGGGTGGTGTCGGGGGAGGGGATAGGGCAGGGACACAGAGCAAACAAACAAGACACAACTGCAAATCATTACCTCAAGTGGACTGGCCCTAATGAAACTCTGGCTCACTTCATTTTTCTCCAGGAGGAATACTCACTGGAGAGCACTCAAGTGATAAACTGCCCCCAGGCCTGTTTCAAAAGACCACAAAATCCAACCAATTTTGATGGGGGGGCTTGTTGATCCTACTGCAAATGGCGTCTGTTCTCAGTTTTAATTGTAACCTCTATTAGATTGTTTTTCACATTGGATTTTAATAATTTGTGCTAGTGTCTATTTCTCTCACTTGCCTGTAATTGCCCCAAGGGCAGAGAATCTACCATTTGCATCTACATGTCCTCTTATCTAGGGAGATGCCCGGCACATGGGGAAAAAATAACACATATTTGTTGAATGTTAAGTCAGAATGAACAGGCTGCTGTGAAGTCCTACTCCACCTTTTTCCCTGTTGAATCTGAGCCGTCTCCTCTGCCCACAGTTGGAACAGCCTGAGTGACACTTGCCATAGGCCTCCCTCCTCTCCCCGAAACCACCTCCTTTCCCTTGATTGAGAAATACCGATTTAAACTGCCTGACCTGAGACTTAGTAAACCACTGCCCTAACCGAGAGAGGGAACAAAGAAAGCCAAACCCATTAGGCTGAAGAATTTATTCTGAGTTCCTTCAGAGTGTAAATTCATTATCACTAAGTCTACGCCAGAGACTAGATAACCCCGCACATGAGCTTTGCATTTTGAGAGGGCTTCTACTCTTCACTGCTCTTTCCTGAACATTCTCTCCCACTGGATTCTCAAAATAATTTGTGAAGTTGATAGGCTGTGAATTACCATCCCCATTTCTTAAAAATGAGGAAACTGAGGCAGAGTTTAGCTTTGTGCCTTGAGTAAGTTACTCAGTGACAAAGTTGAAGCTGGATCTCAGACCTTCTCTAGAAGAAGAGTGTAAATGCCTATTGGGATTATGGAATCACAGTGTCACTATTAACAAATACTGATTTTAGAAACCCCAGGAGAGCTGCAGTGAAATGAGGGGCATTACAGGGCTTCACAGAATTCTAGAAACTGTCTGATCTTGGCCAATACACGTCCAAGAATTCAAAAAAGGAGAAATAAAACCTTCTCCTATCATGCCCCAAGTTGTTCTCCCACGTGTGAAGCTGGTGCCTGGGGGGAAAATGGGGCTGGTGTGGGGTGGGGTCCTTGTTGTTTTTTCAAATGAAGCCCAGCAGGGTGAATGATGCATGAAACGTAAAACTCTCAGATCTTCTCAGTGTACACAGGGGGCCTCTGTGACTCAGTGGTGACATCTTTATTTAGACAGATGCAACAGTGGAATGTTTTATCAGCATTAAATGAACTGGTTGAATACACTTAAAAGGTGAAAAGCACACTGTTACAAACCTGGGCCAACTCCAAATAAGAGAGTACTTCCCCATCAATGCCCACACCACTCATTGCGGCCTTGGTCAGCTCCTGAACGGCGTGCTGCTCTGAGGAAGAGAGGGAACAGGAGAAAGTTAAACCACAGCCTGCAAGCCAGACATCTTGCCTGGAAGGTCTGGTCTGGGACCACCTAAGAGGGGAGGAAGTATGGCACACAGCTCTGGGCGGCCATCCGAATAAATCCAGGGCCCATTCTGATGTGTGGCTGTTCAGTACATGGAGCTCTGGTCTCCAGCCATTGCACCAATGACTCTGGGGACATTTGTTAGCACTTCTGAAATGGCCAGAGTTCTCCAGATCTTCACTGTCTAGTATGGTAACTACCGGCACATGAGACTATTTAAAGTTTTTTTTTGTGTGTGAGGAAGATCAGCCCTGAGCTAACATCTGCTAATGTTCCTCTTTTTTTTTTTTTTTTTTTGCTGAAGAAGACTGGCCCTGGGCTAACATCCATGCCCATCTTCTTCTACTTTATATGGGACGCTGCCACAGCATGGCTCGACAAGCGGTGTGTTGGTGCACGCCTGGGATCCGAACCGGCGAACCCTGGGCTACCACAGCAGAGCATGCACACTTAACCGCTTGTGCCACCAGGCCGGCCCTGAGACTATTTAAACTTAAATTAACTAAAATTAAAAATTCAGGTCTTAAGCCACATGAGCCACATTTAAGTGCTCAATAGCCACGTGTATTGGACAATGCAGATGCAGAACGTTTCCATCACTGCAGAAAGTTCTATTGGACAGTGCTGCTCTACACAGTCTAGCACTTTCCTAGAATCTCCTAGACTCTCTGGTATCTTCCTGTTTGACAGTTTTCCTACTCACATCACTCTAGTTATCAATAATCTCTGACAGTGGAGAGACTGAGTAACAGAGGAATGAGTCCATATGGGGAATTAAAAATGTGAACATGTATGTCTGTCTCAACAGCTGCAGTTGGGTGACACATTGTTTAATCTCTTAGATTCTAAAGACCGGGAGATTTTCAGCCAGAAGTAACAAAAACCCAGTTGGGAGAGTCATTTCTGCTTAAGAGGTGTGTCCAAGGCTGCTAAGCTGAATTTAAATTGCGGTTCTGAGACTGAGCTGTGACTTGCCTCTGTTTGGGCTGTCACCTGTCTCTAGGGTTGACATGTGGGTACAGTCTAGGCCCTGCATTTCTAGTTCCTTGATGTTGATGTATTATTTTTTCATCTCTAGAATTGTATCTGTTCTTCTAATCCATTAGAGCGTCCAAATCTCACTTACTTTCTGCTCTGGCTCTACATACTTGTCAGTCAATATGTCTCTATCTGGTTAATACGGTATCTAGATTTGAATGGTTTCTTTGGCACAACGTTCCTCAGCTGGACGGACAAACAAAGAACTATTTGGAACTAAATTTCCCAGAGAAGTCATATGGGCTTTTTAACTGCAACATTTCTTGATACTTATTTAACATTTTGGCTTGCAAAACATTTTCACCCCAGAAACCGATTTTTAAACACTATGTTCTAAACATTCTATACTTACTCTAAATAGTGTACACCCCAACACCATAAATGATTAAAGGAATCATCTTAGAGAGCTGTATGTTAAATAATCATAACAGTAATAACAGCATTTAATAACAAAAGTAAACACACATAGAAGTCTATAGTTCACACAAGAAGCTTTCTTTGGGTCAGTTTCTTTCATGGAGAAATCAGTCCCATGTTTTCATCACCATACTTACTATTCAAGCAAAAATGGCATTACTTCGAGATTGATCACAAATCTTGTTCAACAGATTTGGCTCCAAATTACTTTTGACTATTTCCAAAAAAATCAAATTTATCCTCAAAGGACAAATAACTGTAATAAGTGTGGATAGTCAAATGGATTGGAACTCAAACTTCTGAAAAAGGGACCTGCCCATTGCAGCCCCCTAGAGTTAGTGTCTAAAAACCAGTAGACTCATTTGGATCTAGGACTTCAGGTGTATTGGTTAAAAACAGTTTTTTAAATAAGTGAGTAGCAATGCTTCAACTCTTTCTATCCAACTGGGGAAGAAGTAAGGCAAGGGGAGGACTTTGATCTCCAGGTGGTTGAGCGTAGTAGAAACCTGGAGTATAGAGAAATAAATATTTTTTCTAAAGACATTGCCGGAAAGTCAAGCATGAATATGACTGGTTGGTTTGTTCATACATTCATTTAATGAAGTCAAGCATGAATATGACTGGTTGGTTTGTTCATACATTCATTTAATGATTCAGCAAATATTTACTGAGAACCTAACATGCTGAGGCACTTTTCTGTGTGTAGGGGACAGGCCAGTGAACAAAACAGGCACTATCTCTACTTTCACGGTTAATAGGAGTCGACTAAACGTAGCGAGAAACATCTAGATTGCTAATTGACACCTCTGGTGAATGAAGCTAAAGGTTTAAATTTAAGAAAAAGGTATTTGAATGCACATATCCTATTTAGACCTGCTTCAGCTTACCAAGTGAACAAATCTAGAAACGATGCATAAGATTTTGTGAAGTTAAGCCAAGTTTCCCTTTTTTTTCTTTCTCTCAAAATGATCTCGACAATGTCAGAACATTTTCTAAAATAGCTTTAAGAAAACCACTTACATAATGCTTACTAAGTGCCAGACACTGTTCTAAGGACTTTATATATCTTAACTCATTTAATCTTCATAACACCTCTGTGGGAGAATAATATTATCCCCATTTTAAAGAGAGAGGAAGCTGGGACACAGAGCAGTTAACTCAAGTCATCCAGCCAGTTAAGGTGGAGCCAGGATTTGAACTCAGGCAATCTTGCTCTGTAGCCTATGTTCTTAACCACTGCGTCCTATTGCCTCTTTCTTAAAGACTGTGTCTGTGTACACATTATAGGGATAACATAGATACAATAGTTTTCTTCAAATTCCACGGTCCACAAGCGAGGCAGAGTGCATAGAGCATGGGCCTCGAGGGCAGGGGCTGTGCATTCCTCATCTTTCTATTTGCACCACATAACAGGGCCTACCACAAAGTAGGTGCTTAAGAAATATTTATTAAATTGAATTGGGCCATCTGATACATTTGATCAGTTCATATCATCTTGCACAAGACAGTCCTATTTTGGGTAATAAAAAATTAATTTTTATTCCCTGGAAATCTCTTTTTTAGTTTAAATGTGATTTTGATATATATGACAGTCAGACATTGTGTGGCTCTGAGTCACCAGCCTTACCTGCAAGTGCAACCAAGTGTGGCAGGCAAAATCTGTTTGCCAAGGCAATTAATTCCAGTGGGTCCAGGTCCAAGTTAGGTGACAACTGCTTGGTATAGAGATAATCCAATACCGCCTGCATTGACATCTTGTTTATGTTCGGCAGATATACCTGAAATGTTATTTGAAAAGCTAAGTTCTGCTGAAGAAAGCAGTGGGCACATTTTCAGGCTATACTGCTTATAAATATCCCAACTGTGTGATTTGATATTGGCGAGTCTGGAACACCTGCTTTGAGGCTGTGCGTAGAAGTCATTTGGTATTTATGGCTTTAAACATAACAGTTTGATTTGTAGATGACAAAAGAGTCGGGCTGCCTGACAAAGCCTGATTTGGAATTTTTAAATGGCTATTTGGATTTATCAATCAGACAAATGGACTGTAAATGTATTATGACGTTATGGGCCCTCCTTGCCAAGTACCTTATAATACTCTATTATGGGGAAAGAAATCTCCTAGCAGCATGACAGGTGTTGGGGGGAGCTGCAAACCACACTGTTGCTGACACACGATAGAGTCCAGCTCTCTGAGATGGCAAAACAGAGGATGAGCAACTGTCCTAGCTGCCAGAGTGACTGGCTTGATTCCAATGATCTATCAATAAACGTATGCCAGTATGATATACACACTTTATTATTTTTCCTATGGCACAACCACATAGATTCAGAACTATCGGAACATTACCAGGTATCAGTAGATTCAGAGAATCCAGAGAAATCCTTGCCTGAGTCATCTGGGGGAATAGCTGGCTGGATATGGTGAACTCTCCCTGTAGGATTCCCCTCATCTCGCTCCCAAGTACCTGTAGTTGTTGCCCATATAAACACATGCTCGAGTTTGCTAGAGAGCGAGGGACTGCCTGGGAAGTGGAGTTCTGGATGGCTGGGCGTGGATCAATGGAGATGTACACGGTATAGCAGCTACTCTTCATTTTAAGTCTCTAACTCCATGCGATGTGGCCTGGTGTAGTACAGAACGGTGCCACTGGTGCTTATTATTGGAATGATGATGATTATAAGAATTAACCTTAATTGAAGGCCTCCTATGCAAAGGTAGGGCACTGAGCTTTCCACACGCATTATCTGTTTTGATCCTTATAACTTCTCTAGGAGGAAGAGACTATTATTTTTGTCATTTTACAGATGAGGAAATCAAGGTTCAGGGAGGTTAAGCCCTGCGTCCAAGGTCAGAGAGCTAGGAAGTAGTGACTGGGATTTGAACCCAGGGAGTATACTTCTAAAGCGTATGTTCAGAACTGCTGTGCAGTACCAGAAACCCTTCATGGCAAGGAAGCAAAGGTTTGGGTTATAGTACAATAAAGCACCATATTTCACTAATGCTTTTTAAGAATTAGATTTCTAAGTTCAAAGGATGAATAGTTATAAACTTTTTAATTCTGGTACTTAATAAACCTCTATACAGATAAAAAGATATACATCCATATATTATATGTAATTACATCTATATTATTATATATGACTACATCTATATTATCTATGATTACATTTATATCATATATATGTTTTTTATGTGATTACGTCTATATTATATATCTAATCTCTCACTCTCTCTCTCTACATTACCTCCACAATCTACATGGGGCTCATGGCCAATGCATTCTAGTGGTGTGGTTCCAGTACTGTTTAAACTATAGCAACCTTCTATATCATTCTTCTGCACAGCCACCAGCCACCTCAGAGATGGAATATCCTTTCAGACAGTTAGAGCTTTTCCTTAATGTATCAAAGGGAAGGCCCAGAAAAATTCCTAGAAATATTAAGAAAATTACTCCCCCTGCCTTTCAGACCTCGTCAATGAAAACAATTATCATTCCATAAATAAGCTGCCTGGGTTATGACCATCAATGATTTGACATGTGTGATCATTTCAAGTTTCTAGTGCAATCTCTACAATAGATAGAACTTGGCAAGTAGAAACGATTACTGATATTATTTTAAAATAAAGAAGCTGTTGTATTGTAATTAATTGCTATTCCAGCGAATCTAACACCAGTTGTACTTGTATGTGCTTACATCCATATATGTTTGTGTACACGTACTTATCCCATGCAGATGTGAATTTATTTATGGTACCCACATAAACTTGTTTCTGTATGTATGAACACATGGCAAAATTTTATTTCTCCAGAATGGTGTTTGGATTAGTACCATTTTTTAGATAATTGAAGGTTAGTTAAGTTGTCAAACTTTAAAATTTGGATCATTTTGATAGTAAAAGTATATATATTTTACAAAGTGCTAAGTGCTACAAAGTGTTAGTGATTATAAACATAAAAAGTCCCAGAGCTTCCTGTGAACACCTGCTTGCTCAGAGATGGGAATGTCTGCTGTTCTGAAAATAATGGTTTGAAGGACAGGGCAAAAGGCTGGGGCAGGCCCAGGGATATGTCACCAAAATGCTGTGTGACCTTTGACAAATCATTCACCCTCTCTGGCCCTCAGTTTCCTCATCTGTTACATGGGAGGAATGTGGAATAGATGAGACCTAAAGCTTTTTCTTTTTCATGGAGCTTCTGGATTTTGAAGATATTAAGATTAGCTTAGCATTTTTTGTAAAGAGTGTGTTCTAAGTCATGGCAAAGTGGACATCCTAAATAAAAAGAAATTATTTCCGGCAGCAGGAGATGACAGATTCCAGTGAGCAGCCCTGCCTCAATACTCCCAGTATCTTTGGAGTATTCTAACATCTGTAATCATCTGTGACCTGCCCTTTCCTTCTTTGTTAATATGACGCTAACATTTTTTTGAAGCAATGGCTCTTTTTGGTAAATAACGTTAGGGACCCTTAGAAGTAACCAGCAAATGAGAAGAAACTAAAAACACTTTCAGAACATGCATTTTTTTTGTCATGGTTGATTTTTTTCTAAAGCCTATTTCTGTGATTTCAACCTTTATAATTAACTATATAACACTGGAAAGACCATTTTATAGAACTTTAGAAAATAATATACATATAGCTACATAAGAAATAAAACTAAGAGTTTTGTATCCTACCTGCTGGATATAGCTTTAAAAAAAAAGGTAATGAAAGAGAATACAATGTTCCCCTAAACAGCGTCCCATCTTCTAGTTTAGTTGGTTTAAAATTTTAATTGCGAAGATCACCTCAGACTATTAGGCTTATAATTAGAGATGGTCTCATAGAGAATGAGAAAGTATTCTAGATCCAGAGCATTGCTTACTACAACCCAGGTATGCATTTTTAATGAACCACTTGCTGAGTACCTCTGGGGCGAGAATTATGCTTACTGGTACATTAAAAGTAATGATAAAAATATAAGTAAAATACAGTGTCTTCTTAAATATTACATGACAAAAAAAAGTTAAAGTAACATCAATGGACATATTTTATTCCTTTCTGGATACGCATGTGAAGTCTATTAATGCAAAAAATAATTGGTTGAATTCTGTGGGGGAACTCAGTTTTTCTCAAGACAATAAAGAGTTAAAAGGCGGCCCAGACAGGACAAATCCCAAGAGTGAATATGGACCTAAATCAGTCTTGGAGCATCTATTGAGCGTTTCACCGAGTGCTCTTCCCTCCCCCATAACCAACTCTACCACACTTGGCTAGTTTAGGAAGGGAACTGGGGGCTTTTCTACTTAGGGCATTTGGAGAACAAAGATCTTTAACTTCTTGGGGAAAGAATCTAACGGGAATTCTCCAGGATCATAGTCACTAACACTTCTTGAGCATATGTATGTTCTAGGCACCAAACTCAATGCTTTACACATATACTCTCATGCCTTACCTGTCCTTTGAAGAAGGTTCTCTTGTTATTCCCACTTCACAGATGAGGACACAGATTTAGAGAGAGTTTGCTGCTTGCCCAAGGTCAAGCTGAGACTAGAGTTCATAACCACCTAACTATTATAGCCTACACTGGAAATAAAGAGAAGGGGCAGGAAAGGGCGGAAATGTTAACAGCTCATGGCATTCTTCATATATTGGCTAAAGGAATCCTGGCACAGACCTTCGGTTGCTTGGTTCCATGGTCTTTGTCTTTTGAGCCGGGTTGAATCTACACAAACTATTAGCCTCAGCTACAGTTCTAAATGGCAAGTGATCTAGTCTCTAGAGCGGCAGGCTAACCCGGTGGCGACCTCCAGGAGAGGCTCTTAAACAACCATGTACGTGTGCTTTCACATTTGCTGCCAAGTTTTTGTTTTGGTCACCTCTCCTGCACATTTTAATCTGGAGACGATTACAGTCCATTCTAGGAAGGGATAAAGGGGATTATTAGCATTTGTGAGGTCAGCTCTGACAGTGTCCCTTTGTGCCTGGGTTCCTGGCCTTGATCACTTGATCAACTTCTCTCTGCTGGGTTAATAGCAGGCCCTCTGCAGCACAATGTGCACACACTTCAGTGAGCTGGAAAAATAAGGGAAGCAAGCCTATGGGCTCTTTATCTCTGGGAATTATTGAAGTCGGTGAAATGTCATCTGGATGAAGTTTTATTAATAGGTGGCTTCCCCAAATTTTCTTGGAAGTAAGAGGGAAAGAATATCACCAACACTACCAACATCAAAATAAGACTAATGGCAGCTACCATTGATTTAATGCTTATGAGGTGCTTCGCAAGTATTGACTCTTATACCTCACAACCACACTATGAGTTATTATTGTGTTTTCCAGATGGGGAGGCTGGAGCTCAGAAAGGTGGTCGCTTGGCCAAAGCCACACAGCTTGTACGCAGAAGGGTTGGGATTTGAGCCCCACAGTCCCTTCACTGGGTGGCCTCCACTGGCTGTAGTAGTCTCAGTAACAACGCTCTGAAACACATTTCGTTACAGGTCAGGACCTCCTGATTTATACCGGCTGGTGGACTCCAGAAGAGGTCATCAGGATAATTCTGACATCCTTTCCCCAAACAGCAGACAGCCTTTTGCTGAGGGCTGGTTTAGAAGCAGCTGCAGTTTGTTCTGGAAGCAAGAGGGTGGCCTAGTGACCTCCTCAGACCCAGCCACCCTGGCTTGTGATTCTAGGATTCTGTTTCCCTCCTTGGGGATGCAAACGCAGGCTCCTGGGTCCAATGCGAGTGTTCAGATTTCCGGTGTGAGCGCCCCTTTTGAAAAGTTAGCCATTGTTTTCTGTATTTTTTCAAAAAGTTTGGAGAGATTCCAAGATAAGCAAAACAAGCCTCTTAGGACAATAAACTTGGTGGGGTGTCCCCATGTTTTTAAAAAAAATGGTTAAAAAATACTTGCAAAATTCAACAAAAATGGTTGCTCACCTCTAGACTAAAGTTAGAAGTGCTTGAATGGAATTTTTCTTTCTTTTCCAACAGAGCTACAAAAAGATGAAGATATAGGGTCTCCAAGACACTGGTTGCTCTGCTCTAAGAATATCCTTCTTTTGGAGATAGGGCCAGCATCTGACAAGCAACTCAGCGGTTTCCCCTAGACCTAAGCACTTTGAGAGGTGCGTTCAGAGGAGTAACCATTTGCTCCATTACTGTTTCTCTACTGTTAACAAACCCTCAGAGAAAGTAAGTCAGGGCAGAGCCTCAGGGAGTGTTGTAGCTCAAGGGGACCTCAAGGGCGATCTAGTGCATCCTTCATGTTGCAGATGAGGAAACTGAGGCACAAGAAGGTGGCTTCTTAAGGTCCCTCATCTGGTTAGGGGCTCAGTTAAGCCCAGGACGTAAGCGACTGAAGAAACTTTTCACTGTCTTGAACTTCTGGAAGACAGGCTCTACCCGTCTTGTATGTGACTTTGATGGTATCTTGCCTGCTGACATTTGTTAAAAAGTATAGCTGCTCATGTTTTCAGGGATAAGGAGAGTTGTGAGGATGAAAGGATATACTATATGTAAAGCACTTAGGTGTTCACACATAGCAAGTGAACAGTAGACAACAGCTCTTCATAACTGTAGAATTAAGAAGAGGGTGACCTGACACTCAAGCACTGCCTAAGAAACTATTGCATGGAAGCAGTAAAAGAATCAGTCATCCAGCTAATTAAACACTTTATATAACTACACATGCACATTCATAAAGATACCATTTAGGCTTTTCAGAAGGCACATACCTCACTGTTGGCACTTTCCACAAACGACCCCCCGAACATGGCAGCCATCCACTTGCAGCTACAGATCAGCAGCGGTTTGTGGGCACTGATGGCTCCATCATCCAACTTAAATGTCACATCTGCCCAAGGATTGAGGAAGCATAAGAGTGAGCCAGCCTCGCCGAGAGTTCCACCCATAGTCATCGACCTACCTCTCTCACACTCCCTCTTCCAGATCTTGACTTACTGACTTTGTGTCAACCCCCACCTTTGACATAATCGATTCTCTTGATGTTCTCCAAGGATTAAGGAATGAGCATTTAAAATTACACATCAGGTCACAACACAAATTCTCTGAACCATAAAGTAACACAAAGGAGAGGAATATTTTTTCTTCCTTATTATGAAAAATTTCAAACATACAGAACACAGTGGAACGAATTCTGCAATCACAACTCATTTATCACATTGTTAACATTTTGTCATATTTGATTTAGCTATATGTATATTTACACATATATATTTTATATGTGTGTAGACATTTTTTTAACAGATAGAAAGACACTTCACTCCTAACCACTTTATCAAGAGTTTTCTAAAAATAGGAACATTCTCCTGGATAACCATACCATTATTACTTCTAAGAAAATTAGCAGTAATTCCCTAAGAAAATTAGCAATAATTCCCTAATATCATCCATTATCTAGTTCAGATTCAAATTTTTCCAGTTATCCCCAAATTGTATTTTATAGCTTTTTTTTTTTTTTTTTAATAGAGAATTCAATTGAGGCTCCCACATTGCATTTGGTCGTCACGCCTCTGCAGTAAGCAGAGGGCGATTTCATCAACTCCACTTAAGGGCCACTGTTTAATTTACTGCAGGTTTGTAACATTTCTCTTCATTAACTTTCAAGACTGCTTCTGTACCATGATGGTCAATGTTTGGAGTAAATATTACTCATAAACTTTAAAGTTAATGAACAATTCAGTTACCACTTATTAAATGTATATTACCATGATAGGCATTACAAAAGATAAAGGCAAAAATAGAAGTATCCATATAAACAGAAGTCAGGAAGTAAAATTTTTACAATGAAACACACAGACACAATACGCAAACAGAGGACAATTACAGAACAAAAACAGTACAAGTGTGGCTATGGTACAAGCATAGGCCAGTAACCCATCTTGGATACAGGCTGCCATTGCGCTCAAGCAATTACATAAGGATGCTGTGGGTGGCATATGGCATAGTTATCAAAGACAAAGAAGGAACTAGAAAAATATAGAAGATCAGGGTAAAGGAGTGTGAGAACAGAAAAGGACAGGGGATAGAAACAAGCACCCCTGATGGGAACGCAGAGGGTCACCAAAATTTCCTCAAGGATTTCAGTGGCCTCAGGACCAGAGGTCACTGATTTTTGTCACAGGTAACTGCCAAAGTGTCAATGGAAAATAGACTTGGTCAGGGAAGGGATCCTGAAGGGGAATTCTAAGTATTAAGCTGATTGGCTCAGGCTCAGGGGTAACTTGACCTACCCTTGAGAAGCATCGTGATACCATGGCAGTTTAGAGGGCAGCTTGAGTTGAAATCCTGGCTCTCCCATTTACTACCTGTGTAACCATGGGCAAGTTATCTAACCTCTCTGTCCCTCAGCTTCCCCAGCTGCAAATGGAGATAATAATATTTAACCCTTAAGTCTGATGAGAATTAAATAAGTGAACACATGTAACCTAGGTACATGGGAAAAAATCGGCACTTACACATGTTAGTGGTGGCTATCCTCCCCCTGCTCATGTTTGGCTAATTTTTGATAAAACACAACCAAAGGTATCCATGACTTTGCCGCTGGACCTGCTCACCTGAGAATGTCCCCTTGCTGAGACACTCTTTTATCCGATTGGCCTTCCTGACGTGAAATGCTTTTGTAATCTCCTGGTTCATGAAGGCTTCTTTGTTCATGATGTTTTCCACCATCATCCTCAAATCAAACATCTCCAGGACCTCTGCAATCTGAGCCAGGCCCACCAAATCCTTTTCCTTTTCATCCAGCTGCCCTGTATACAGAAACTGAAGCAGGGTCCGGAAAGGGCCTGGCTGAACCGATGAGTCCATCCTGACCACAGTCATCGGGCCCACCCGCTTTGAAATAGGATTGACTTGCATTTCCTTGTGCATTCCAACAAACCCCTTGCTCCAGCCTGACAAAGTCTGCGTCTCTGGAATCGAGCCCTCGGCTTCTAGCCCCAGAGTCTCCTGTTGGAACAGGTTCTGGCTCGAGGACTTCCACTGATCGGCCTGAGGCGTCCTTGGGGTGCCCTCCTCCTTCTCCTCATCTGGGTCAACACTCAATGCCCGCCCCTCGAAATCCCTGCTCTGCCTCTCTTTCTCACAAGCTCCTTTGCTCCAATTCGGTGTTTCTTCACATTCCATTAAAAAAAGGTCATAAAATTTGGAAGAGGAGGTAGCGAGGTAAATTCGGTGTGCAAAGATGTGCTCCTGGTCCTGAAGGATGAACAGGACGTCGGCACACAGAGGATTGTCCAGTAAACAGGCAGCTTCATTCGTCCCCATGGACGGACATTCTGGAACTTTGATGACCGGTGGAGGGGCTTTTGGAGGTAGGAATGGTGCCTGAAGTAAAGGCTTCTGAACTTTCTTTAAGTGGGATTTCCAGAACTGCAGGTGCCGGCGGGAAATCAGCGCTGCTCGGATTGCATTGTCAAACACATCCTTGATTCCAAACTGGTCAAATACGCTTGTTTCGTAGTATGGTATACCAAGTTCCTTTGCAACCTCTCGGCCTTTTTCTGGGGGCAGGATATCCCCTCTCTTTATGGGCCTGAAATACAATATTTAAAAAATTATAATCAGCCTTATTTTAGGAAAAAATTAATAACCAGGGCCTATCTAAGCATCTAATTGAATTATACATTTAAAACCTTAATTAGGCTTTTCATAAGGCTCTTGAAAAATCTACTACCAACTTCAAGTCTTTCAAGTACAAAGGACTTACGACTGCAGAAAAAAAATGTTTTCAGGAGTAACCACAGTTACTGAAGTATCAGCCATTTACTAGCTATTTGATCCTGGGTAAGTTACTTAACCTCTTTAAGCCTCGGTTTTCCCATCTGTAAAATAGGAATAATAATAATGAGTACTTCCATCTGAAAGGACTGTTAAGAGGTTTAAATGAGACAATATGCTTAGCATAGTATGTCCTCCACAGTAAGTGTTTGACAAATGTTAGCTGTTACCATCATTATCACCACCATCATCATCTTCATTTTCATCATCATCATCACCATCTTATGCTTAAATTTTGCTTTATAACTTTAAAATGAATCCATACATTTTCTCATTTGAACCTCACAATAACCCTATGGGTATTATTTTTATTCTACATTCTGAAGAAACTGAGGCAGAGAGTTCAAAGGTTTTGCCTAAGGTCACATTTGCAACTTGCTGAGAGACCTCTACTAAGTGATTAAGAGTCTAGAACTCCCCACTCCTAGTTAAATAGTCCACATCCAACAGCTCCTTAAGTCCCCTCTATTAGATTTGTGAAGCTTCTTTCATACTTTCCCCTTCTCTTCTACTCTCTTCAGTCAGGCCCTCATCATCTTTTGCGTGGACTAGTGCATTAGCCTCTTAACTGTTCTTCCTTCAGACTCTTCCACACTTTAGTTCACAGTTCTCATTGCTGCAAGAAAAATCCTTACATAACACAAGTATGACTTGGTTGCAATTCTGTGGTTCCACAAAGCCCATGGGGGAAGTCTATACCCTTTGGGCTGGCACATATGGCCCATTTACAGTCTAATCAAACCCAGGGAGGCCAAACGTTCAGAAGCACTATAAGGAGAACAGTGTTGTGATTATGGCATAACCATGGTAAAGACACAGACGGTTTCCAGAATATAGTCAAGATGTGATTTGCAGTTACACTCTTCACAAACACATACTTGATTCTGAGACATACTCTTAGGAATTGATCTTCCTAAGTAAATATCTGACCAAAGGTAATGTGTGGCAGGCACTGGTCTGAGGAGAAATAAGATAATACTGGGTAGAATTTGGATTTGAAGACCTGGATTGAAAAGAAGAAAAACTGTAGGGTGTTGCAGAGGTGGAAGGGAAGTGCGAGGAAGAAGGTTTAACTTCAAGGTTTGCTCCTGTGGGCAATCTGTGCTCCTTGTTCCTCGCACTGACTTGAAAATCATTAACTGATGAAACTCTTCAAGATTTAGCTCAAATACCACCAGAACTGCTTTATAGAAGGGACCATCCCCTCCTAGAGCTCGGAAACTCTCCTCTGGTCCTCCACATGGCCATGATTGTGAGGCCCGAGTACCTTAACCTATTCTTTTATACAGAAAGTTCCGGATGCCAGGGGGAATCTCTCTTTCATCGTAAGTCCTCTTTCCTTCTATGTGGCTTCTAATATTCAATTCCTAGTCCATGCATTTAAGAATAAAAGAATTGTGAAAACTGAACATGAAGCATTTTCAGAAAATTTATCCAAATTGTACCTAGAACATCGAAAATTGTCTAAACAAAGTATCATTTGCTTCTGCTGTGAGAGCATAAAAAGTTGTGTCCGTATAAAATTTTGAATCAAGCCCATTAGGTAAATATCAAAAGAAGGTATTAAAGGGCTGGCCTGGTGGTGTAGCGGTTAAGTCCAGCACGCTCTGTTTTGGCAGCCTGGGTTTGGATCTCGAGTGTGGACCTAGACCACTTGTCAAGCCATGCTGTGGTGGCAACCCACATACAAAATAGAGGAAGACTGGCACAGATGTTAGCGCAAAGCTAATCTTCCTCAAGCAAAAAAAGAGGAAGATAGGCAACAGATGTTGGCTCAGAGCAAATCCTCCTCACCAAAAAAAAAAGAGAAGGTATTAATATCAACATTTTGGGAAAAGCTATGCTCTCCAGCAAAAAGTGTAGTTAAACATAAAACATACATAAAAATATTTTTTATAAAGGGAATATTGAGGGAGTATAGGTTTTTAAAGACTTATGTCCCCCCCAAATTGGTATCTACATTTTACATAGAGTGAAACAAATCCTCCTTCAAGTTGATTTTTAAAATTGTGACATTTTAAAAAATATAACCACTAAAGACATTTAAAAATCAGTGTTGTTGTTTTGCAACTACGGGTCCATATGATTTTTAAAAGCTCGAGACTGTCATCGTGGGAATGAAATACTCTTAGAGGTTGGATTGAGGAAAATGAGAAGATTAAAAACACTTTGATATGCGTATTTGTATGAACCGATAGTCCTGAGGCCAAGAATTGTGGCTGATGACTCTGAATGTTAGCTAACTTTATTATAATAATCATAATTTCAAGAATGACATTATTATGAGTAGTTAACACTTTGTTTAATACTTTACAAATTTCGAAGTACTTTTATACATACCATGTCACACTTACAGAATTCACTTCAAGCACTGGCCAACCATTTTACAAAAATGGAGATGGTGAGTGTGAGAAGGGTCATGATACGCCCCCTCATGACTAACAAGCTAACTTAAAGTGTATTGCTCATTGGTGGGGTCTCAGAACCACTGAAGACCAGAACCCTAGGCTACAGAGACACCTGCTACCTCTAAATTTTAATTTGGCCAGCACACTGAAACACAGTCCCTTGACTTACCTCGCTAACGGGCGTCTGGCTCGATTAACAGCTTCAAGATCAGCATAGCGGAGATCTAGCTGGCAGCCAACCAGGACAACAGGTGTGCGAGGGCAAAAGTGCTTTATTTCTTGATACCACATGCTTTTCACATGATTTAGGGAATTGGGATTAGCGATCGAAAAACAGAGGACCACAACATCAGATCTAAAAAGAAATCACAAAAGAAGCTGTATTGCCTTTTAACTTTTTTTTCTTTTATCATTAGGGTTCCTCCCCAACCCCATCCATTTAATGCCAATTATCACATCACAATTGAAAAAAAAAGACCCCATATTAAAACACATCTCGGAGTCATGCAAACAGCCTGAGAAGCCCCCACGTTCCAGCACCAACACAGTCTGAGCTCATTTCCATATTGCACTGCAGAATGCCTACAGGTTGAAAAGTTTCCAGTGGCGTTATTTTACAGTAGAGATGGTTACCCAAACTTGACTCAGTCCTGGAACCACAGCATGCTGAACTATTTCTGCTCATCACAAGAAATAGTTTCAAGATAAAAGAAAATAATAAAAACTACCTTTTACCAGTTTAAACATACAGGTGATGATGACTCAATCCAATGAGAAAAAGCAAACAGTTTAAACACTACTGAAAATGTGACAGGTATTTGCCATGCATGGTTGGCAAATACAGAAGGATTTCTGCCCTTCTTGCCACTTAAGCACACATGTAGAGAGCACAACCACTGATCTGTTTCTGAAAAGAATAAATCCTGAATTTGCAGGAATTTTGACTCTTTACTAGGTATAAGGCAAGAAGGTAGTATTTAACATAAAACTAGCAAGAGTTAGACGGATGGCTAATAAGATGAGAAAATGTTAGAATTAGATTTCTCACTGTTATATATGACACATAGCAGGTATATGGGGAAAAGAAAAATTGCTTTATAGTCAATTTTGACAGAAGGATCTTCTATTTTTATATAATAACTTACAATTCTAGAAGCCAAAGAAGTGTTTTACAAAACAGTTGTTTAATTATGGTGTTTGACAGATAGCTGCTAAAAGGTATCTTTAACAAGAATTATAAACCATCCTTCTAGGTTAAAATATGCTGAATGATGACTTTGGAAACATTGAGGCAGAAGAGTATAAAGAATAGGAAAAGTCAGGGGCCGGCCTGGTGGCGCAAGTGGTTAAGTGTGCGCGCTCCGCTGCGGTGGCCGGGGGTTCGTGGGTTTGGATCCCAGGCGCGCACCAATGCATTGCTTGTAGAGCCGTGCTGTGGTGGAGTCCCATATAAAGTAGAGGAAGATGGACACAGATGTTAGCTTAGGGCCAATCTTCCTCAGCAAAAAGAGGATTGGCATCAGATGTTAGCTCAGTGCTGATCTTCCTCTCACACACACACACACACACACACACAAAACAAGAATAGGAAAAGTTATGCCTAAGGATTCAAGATTATCTTGCAGCTAAATTCAGAAATAAACTCTTACAATTTTATTAGATGTTAATTTATTGCCTTTATTGTTTACGTAATGAGAAGAATCAAGTCGATGAATCAAAACACCTTCTTTTTAAATCATTAATGAGCTTTTCCCCCTACATATCAATGAAGACAAACGAATATACCCAGGCAACCATAAAATTTCTAAAAATAATCATTTGCAATGCAGAAAACTGCAGGGTGCTTACATTAAATGTAATTCACAAGTTGAGTCTTTAAATTTATACCCAAGAAAAACCACATTAGACCACAGCAAATAGAGGGAAAAATCCTGAGATTAAAATATTTACAAATTATAAAAGAGGAGCTAGGACTCAAAGTAGATGAATATATTAACCTGCATGTTTAGAATGTCCTTGAAATAAAGATATTATGAAAGATTCTTGGACATTGGAAAATATAATATGTGTAAAAATATGGATAAATATATAAATGAAAGGGAAGCATGTCTTGTCTTGGAGATTCTGGTTTAGTTAGTTGAATACTCTTTGCACGGTCTTACTTCTAATCAGCATAAATAACAATACCCAGTAAAGCTAAGAATGCTTTGAATTTCACATTTTTTAGGAGCTGAGTTTTCTATTATTCATAGTCCTATTTATACAGGATATCTGATGCAGCTCTGCTATAAGCTTCGTCCTGATCATAAAATAAAGCCACCATGAATTTTGGCACAGTGAGAATAATATGGCAATAATCTGAGGTTCAATATTATAGAGAAATAATTGAGTAAATGTATCCAGCACCTAAATGTGGAATAGTATGTATATGCATAAAATTGTTCTAGTTGGTGCCTTCTATTTCCATATTAAGGCACATGGCCATGAAGGAAATCATTCTCAGAGCTTAATTTACATGAAAGACATGTAGCTAAATGTCAATTCCGTTATCTAATTTTATGATACAGCATGTGAGGTTTTGAAATCAGAGCTAGCTTGGTTGCCAAGGTTACTGTGATAACACTCATGCCACTGAACACATACTAGTTACTATCCAGATGACCTGTAAACAAGTACAGACAGGACCTTGGGGGTTGGAAAAAAATGGACTCTCCTGATGATAGTAGCACAATGCTATCCCACAATACAGGTCCGGCGGGCCCAACGTCTAACTATGTCGCATCAATAGCTCAATGCATGAAATGTTGTCGGGAAGCTAGAAAAATAATTCAATGCTCTGTAAATATTTTGACTCAAAAGGATGATAAAGAGAAGAGGTTGTACTGAGAGCAACACTACCTCTGAAGCTAAAATAACTTAGTGAGTCAAAATTCTATTCGTATCCTTAGAATGTTATTCTTTTTTCCTTTTTACACTCATATATAGGTGCTATGAGAATCTGTCCCCATTATTTTACATTGAAAGCAGTTAAAAAATATCATATTAGCTTAAATGTCTTTGGTTTAACCCTTGTTGATCTAAATACAAATGCAAGTTAAGAAAACATTGTGTACAGATTATACACAATGCTATTCTTTCAGCCTGCCATATGAATGTAGTATCCTAAACCTTTTTTGAATCAATGGATGTAGTGATAGGACTATAGAAAGATGCTGCTTCGATATATTCTTCCTTATCCCAATATTCTTTTCTAATTCCTAATTCTCAACACATCAGTATCCTCTGTGATATAAACACCTATACAATCAAGTAACTATTTTGAGAATGCTATTTATTCCCTCTAGATTTTGAGCCATTTTTCTATCTCGTCAAAGAAGGCACAAGACCTGCAGCTAAGAATATCTCCAGCTTTAGGCAGAATTCCAAGGAACTAGAGATATTAAATAACTTTGAATCAAAACATTCATTCCCGAGTGGAGACTGTTCAATGTCTGACACAAGCTCATGTTTAAAAATGCCATTCCTATGAAGGATAAAAAGAAAAAGGCAAGTTCTAGCATTTCTATTTCTATGGCTCTGTTAAATTTTTTCACTTTGAAGAGGTAAGTGTGAAAATAATTGGGAGGGGGAGGTGTGATGAGGACATTCTCACACATTAGGCAGCAGGGTTAGCCTGGAAATGACCTCAGCGTTCTTATTTCAGCCGTAAAAAGAATCTGATAGAATTTAAAAGGAGTCTTACAGCTATTTGAGAATGCATGAGAATTTGAGAATGCAGAGGCAAAGCACAGAGTAGACAAAACTCTAGACTCCAGAACTTGAATATTGAGAGGGGGTAGGAAGAGGTTTGGATCTTTTTGGATAGGGGTAAGTGGCTTTATTAAAGAAAATCAGGATTACAAAGGACTTATGAGTGTATGGTCTCAGCTGTGTGCCTAAGAATATTTATTTTTTTGGAGAAAAATGTGATTTCTTGTTCCTAAAAGGAAAATATCACTATAAAAGTTTCACTAACTTTTATAACTAACACATCAACTAATGTTAACATTAGTTAACTAACACATCAAATAATGCCCATGAAATAATGTTTTGATTAGATAAGTAGAAAACAATCCAAAGTAAATCTATGTGTGGAAACAATTGCCAATCTCCAGTTTCATGAAGGGGTCGGAGATGGGGAGAGGATCAGAGAGAGACCTAGTCATCCAAAAATGCTTGAGCTGATAAGGCCAACCTCAGTTGTATCAGCTTTTTTTCAGATATTAAACAAACAAAAAAGCATATTTTTTCAGTTATCTTTCAAGGAGAACACTGGCCAAAGTTAGCATGTGAAAGATTGGCAAAGACATCTGGATAACATAAGGAGTACATGCAAAGTTGGGACCAATCTTTGTTGGAGGATTAAAGAAAAAAATCTGAAAAAAGTGCATCTTACCCACATATCTTGGCCCGAGCTAGACTTTAAACAGAAAATGCCACACATGTTCTCAAGGCCTGTCTTTATAATATTTACAGTCAAATATAGCAAACTTGGTGGGAAAAGATCAGAGAAAACAGCCAGAAGCTAAACTGCTTTTCCAATCAGAAATAACCAAATTCATCTTTTGAAGAAGTGGTTGAAGAAAGGTAGATAATTAATATCAAAAATTTGTTGGTAGGAATCTAAGTTCTCTCCTATCACAGAAATGCTTTGTGTCTTGTTAGTTTGTCTTCCCTTTTCTGGTCCCAACCACTTCGTCACCACTGTTCAGCCAAGGAGCTGTGGGCCTTGGATTTTCTTACCTGTTTAAGTGAAAAACTAATTCCTAAATTATCCTTTATCTAAGAGCCTAAGATCAGGCCAATCTCAGGGGCAATGTGAAGGATAGTGTGAGTGGGACACTCTAGATAGCTGTGAGTGGGACATCCAAATGCCCTTCTCCAGTGTGCCAATTCTGGTTGGGTCTGCTGCTGACGAACACTTGGTGACCAAGAGTAAGCTAACAATTATATTTATCTGAGTCTCGCTTGGAAGTATCTCTTTCTTAACACACTCTTTTAAGCCTTTTGTTCTATGGTAGGATCCCACCTCTTTATATGTCACTACTGCCTATTATTATTTCTTTTTTTTAGTAGCGACATCCATACCCTTTATATTGGTAGAGATCATGATCACATTTTAAGGGTCCTCTTTTCTTTGTCAATGTGCACAAGTCCCATTCTGGCAAAGATTCAAGTAGAAGTCCCTGACCCCTAACTTTGGGGCTTCAAGCTTCCTTCTACCTCCTGATAACCGAGGTAGGCTCTTTACAGAAACATTTTCAAAACCATTCATGTCAACAACACACCTTTCATGCATATAGTCTGACAGCGCTA